CACTGTTGTGGCCTCTCCCGTTGCGGAGCACAGGCTCCGGATGCGCAGGCTCAGCGGCCATGGCTCATGGGCCCAGCCGCTCCGCGGCATGTGGTATCTTCCCGGACCGGGGCACAAACCCGTGTTCCCTGCATCGGCAGGTGGACCCTCAACCACTGCGCCACCAGGGAAGCCCCTAGCTATTACTTTTTAAAGGATTTAATAAATTAGCTAATAATTGCCAGTTAACTTCAAATAAATTACTGATATAATCCTATTATCTACTAAAAGACATAGCTTGTTATACAGACAAATGAATACACAAGGAACAAATACACACTTTTAAAATTAAGTCTTCATGTTGCTCAGACCTAAAATGGTAAGTGTATTTTGTAGAATGACAGTAGGTGCTGAGTAAACATTTGTTTGCTATCTGGTCACAAGTTGTGAAGTTGTGACTATTCTCTGTTTGAGTTTGCAGAATTGCCTGTCCCGTTTGCTTGCAAAAAGTGTGATGGTGGCAATGTGTAAGAAAGTTTTTTAAGGCTCTGAATTACTCAATTACTCAATCATTTCTGACTTTTTTTTTTTTTTTTTGCAGTATGCAGGCCTCTCACTGTTGTGGCCTCTCCCGTTGCGGAGCACAGGCTCCGGATGCGCAGGCTCAGCGGCCATGGCTCACGGGCCCAGCTGCTCCGCGGCACGTGGGATCTTCCCGGACCGGGGCACGAACCCATGTCCCCTGCATAGGCAGGCGGACTCTCAACCACTGCGCCACCAGGGAAGCCCCTGACTTTTTTTATTGAGGTATAATTGACATATAGCTGATATAGCTGATTTTGATGCAGTGGTTTTTAAGGTCTCTAAGAGTCCCCACATAGCAAAGGGCTATGGAAATAAACACATTATCAAATTCCTTAGGATTGATATTGATTTAGTTACTAGAATGCTCCTTCTAAAAGTCACAGGGATGGGTATTTTTATAAAAAAATTTTTAACGTCTGCTTTCAAAAAATTGAATCTTTAGAATCATTCCTAAGTGAAGTATACATTTTTTTCTCTTGCTTAAGTGTCTCAGATGAACGTGTTATCCTTGAATATTCTAAGGGAACTGTACATCTGTCTAAATACTTTATGTCATACTGATTGTCTTTCCTCAGCAAATTGATACAGTGAATCTCTGAAGTGATTAAACAGTAATAATATTTGTTAACTTTCTTTTCATTTCAATACTTGCTAAGTGTTTCAAAGACAATAGAATACCAAATTATGGGGATTTCCCGCTAGTCCAGACATACAATTTTAATAAATTATTTATATATATGAATTTTTATTTTTTGCAAAAGAAAATTAATGTTCATTTACTAACCAGATCTCAACATCACTTTGTTACACTTTCTTCAGTTATGCTGTATAATTCAAGCCCCACAAACAATTTAGCAATATAAAAAAAAACTGACCCTTCGAGGATTACTATGTCCTTATTCTCTGATCTTGGATATTTTATTTCCTCCCACATATTTAGTGTGCAAGTCTCATGATATAAAACTAACATAAGAATGTATTTAAAGGAAGGAAAGTTACAGTTCATCACCCTACACGTGAGCTAATTTCATTTTACCAGTTTCCTTCCTGACTCTGTTCGCATACATTCTTACATAGTCGTAATACTTGTGTAGATATAACTTTATACTTGCTTTTTCACTTTCATTCTGAGTTTTTTATATGACTATATATAATCTTTACGATTTTTTTTTTGTCACGTATATAACGCCTCATCTAGTTTGTTTATCTTAGCTTACATAGTCCTTGCTCTATCATTGGACATTTAGATTGATTCAAAGTATTTCCTTATTATAAATATGACTGCAAAATATATAAAACTTTTTTCTTTTGAATTAACTAGGATTAATTCCTAAGAATAAGAAGCAATACTTTTATGGCTTCTTAATACATATTGTGAAATTGATTTTTAAAACAACACCAGGGCTTCCATGGTGGCGCAGTGGTTAAGAGTCCACCTGCCAATGCAGGGGACACGGGTTCGAGCCCTGGTCCGGGAAGATCCCACATGCTGTGGAACAACTAAGCCCGTGCACCACAACTACTGAGCCTGCGCTCTAGAGCCTGCAAGCCATGACTACTGAAGCCTGTGCGCCTAGAGCCCATGCTCCGCAACAGGAGAAGCCACTGCAATGAGAAGCCTGCACACCACAACGAAGAGTAGCCCCCTCTCGCCGCAACTAGAGAGAAAAGCCTGCGCACAGCAATGAAGACCCAACACAGCCAAAAATAAATAAATTTATAACAAAACAAAACAAAACAAAACAACACCAATTTATACTATCACCCACTGAATGGCTGCTACTTCCACTACCACCTTGCCAGATTAGGATATTATTTATAAATGTTCAATTGCTAACTTAATAGATATAGAATGGTACAGCCTTGTATAATTTAGAATTCTTTAAGGATTGAACATATTTCCAAATGGCATTTAGTTATGGGTTATCTTACATCTTGTGTTAACTGTCAGTTAAGACCATATCATTCTGAAGCTCTCTGTGTTTCACACTCTTTCTCTGTAAAGTGGGGTCCTATTCAGGTGAACGGTAAAGAGTTTTTTTTAAAGTAAAATAAATTATAATTTGTTTTAAGAAACCAATGTAATGACTCTTGAGGCTGGTGTAGCCTCGAATCAAGGCAAGTAAGTAGTGTATGATCCAAATGTATTTGCAAGAGAAATAACGCTTCTATTTCTATTATGTTCATCTGTGTTACTTTGTTCAAAAAGATGAAAACATAAGCTGTCGGAAGTGATACAACTCTCTCTCCTCTTAATCTTTGCAGAATTATATCAGGTTCCAGTCGTTGGTGTGATAGTGCCCATCATGTGGTTCTACCTCCTCATGAATGTCATCACCCAGTATCCTTTGCACCCCTCTGCCATGTGGCCTTTGCTGTGGTATTTTGGCATAGGAATGTTTATTCCTTTCTTCTAATGGTGCAGTGCCATGAGTTTCGTTTTTGCCTTGATCTCTTCTGCGGTAAGCAGGAGACAGACAGGCCCATCCAGTGAGCTCCTTTGTTGCGGGAAGAAGGGGGGAAGAGATGCTGGTGGTGTGGAGGGTCAGTAAGTCCCAGGGCACCAGGAAGGAAAAGCTCTGGGTGGAGGTGTAGAAATCAATGGGTAATTAAGGATTAGTATGTGACAGAAATGTGCTGTGATTTCTACATGGAGTTTTCCAGTGTCCTAGGATGTTTCACAAGCTGCCACAGAATCCTGCAAGAAATTTCAAATTAAGTAAAACCTGATTTTTAAAATGGCTCTTTGGAACCACCAGTAAGTCCATTATACAAATCATTGAGTCTTTGAAACAATGAAACAGATTGAGATGGACCTCATTCCTCTGAAGTCACCTAATTCGTTTGCCCTACAGAGTTCTTTTTGGGAGGAGGTGTGATCACCTTTACCGAGAGCGTTACCTTCTGTCATTACTGGGGAGGCGACGTCTCTGTAAACTCTGGCAAGAATCCAGGATAAGAATAATAGGAGGCTTTCAGGCAGTTTCAAGTTAGGGTCCACAAATGGAATGGCAGGCCAGGAATTCTACAGGATGTTCTAGCAAGGAAGAGCCTCAGGGCAGCTGGAGCCAACCCCCCTGTTTTTTGGGTCCTAGAACAGAAGGTTCTCCCACTGATCTCTGGGTTGTCTACAGAAAACCACCTTAACCTGCGCCTCCAGGTACGTGTGCATCCGGGGCGTCTTCATCCTGACCACAGAATGCGCCTCCCTCACCGTCACCCTCGTCGTGACTCTGCGCAAGTTTGTGAGCCTCATCTTTTCCATCTTGTACTTCCAGAACCCTTTCACTCGGTGGCATTGGCTGGGCACCTTGTTTGTCTTCATTGGGACCCTAATGTACACAGAGGTGTGGAACACCCTGGGAGCCACCAAAGGCCAGCCTCAGAAGGAGGCCAAGAAGAGCTGAGGCCTTCCTGGAGTAGAGAGACCCGAGGCTAGTGAGCCAGGGGCTGGCCACCATCTCACCTTGGTTAATGCTGAATCACCCCCCATGTACCAGAGAATCCTCAGAGGGACGCACTTCTCAGATTTCTCATGCCTATACAGACCCACATTTGTGGACCCTGAATAGAAGCCCCCAACCCTGAAATAGGAAAAAAGACCAGTTCTCCACCATTGAACAGCCTTTCCATTTGTCGTTTCTACCAGAATTTCAGCACTGTACTTGCTTATTGAAATCTGAGTCCCCAGAGCTACTAGTTTTACATCCACGGTCTTGGACAAGATTATCCCTGTCCTGATGATTCTCTGCTGTAACAGTCTTTATCCTCCTGTGGCCTTTCCCCTTGTTCCATTAACCTGCCACCCACAGCAGCACTTTTCAGGCAGACGCTCCAGGCACCCCCCCCAACCAGGAACAACCGAGTGGCCGGGTGAACCGCCGCACCGGGATGCTGGGGCTGGGCTTTCTCCTGTGTGTTGGGAAAGAAGCAGGTGGCCCTGTGCACCCTGGTGACCCCGGGGCAGGACTGGTGGGAATCCTTTCCCACATTTTTCCTTTGTTTCTATGCAAAAGTCATACGCTTTCACACCTTTTGCTTTCTGTACTTAGAACAAACCTGCAGCATCTCTGTATAGCACAGTGTTAATAAGAAAGAAAGGTTGTGTAGGAATTGGGAAAGAGAGACTTTCTGTCTTCTCTCACTTTTCTGGTTCATTAGCCTCGAGCTAAGATGGTGATGCCAGGATGGCCCAGGAGAAGCTGGCTCCGGGGGCAGGGGCACCCAGAGAGCACAGACAGGCACTGAGGGTGGGGTCCACGTGGGGGAGCTCCGCCTGGCAACTCTGATAGTTATGACCAGCCAGGCTAATGAGTGAACCAGTATATTCAATGGGTGTGGGTGTGGTGTATCAGTCAGGCCAAATCACAACTAAAATGGAAATTTTTGGGGGGAGGAGGATGTCATCTTAATGTTCTTGATGGGTATGGGAGTGTGTGTGTTTTATCATATGTATTAATAGAAACATGCCCCCCTTTTGCTAATCATTTCAAAGGTCTGGTTTTCCTCCCATGGGGTAACTTTGAGAAAGAATGGTGTCAGGATGGCACGTGTAGGTGTGTGTGTGCTCTCGTGTGGGTTGTGATCACTTGGGAGAAGAGGAGAGCATGAAAGTCAGTGCTTTTATTTCCTTGTCCTTCACTCAGTTCGGACCTTCATTGTCTCACGCAGGTACGTGCTCTGGAGGCCGTCAGACTTACCAGCCCATCTTTTTGCACACAGACAGAGGCCTCTCCTTCTGCGCTGGGTTCAGGTTGTGTTCTTATATCGAGATTTGGCTCTCAGGGTCTCTTGAGCTCACCCAGGGTGTGGTGTGTTTATTCTACTATCTGGAGCTATTCTCTGATGGGTCTGCAATAAGTGTCCTAGAACCACCAGGTTGCTTTGGGGAAGTCCCTTAGGCTGCTCGGGTTTTTTGTTACATAAAATGTGGATGCTGTTTCTCCACCTAAGTCACAGGGTTTTCAGATCAATTTGTGGTTGTGGACGTTGACAGCTGTTCAGTGCCAGTGAAGGTCTATACTAAAAGATGCGGAATTAGGTGTGAACTTGCTCATGGACTCAAAAGTTACTGTTAGAGTTCCTCAGACTGATGGTGCTATAAACACCATGTGTTAAGTATCCTCTTAAGAACAAGAACAACAAAAGCTACTTTTCTTGTTGTTTAACAGAAGAACCTGTCCCCAGGGGCTATCTGACTGCTGCATATCTGGAGTCTTGACAGTATAGAGCCTTACATGATGTAGTATCACTTTTTTTATGTTGATGGGAAATATTACAATTTTTAGTTACTGAAACAGTGTTGATGTACAGAGACAGCATTCAACTGGGTCCACGAGGTTTTAGATTCTGGCTTTAGAGTGTGTGTGTTCCTCAGTCTGAACACCTCTGCCAGTCTTATTAACAGGAGGATATGTATGGACAGATTAAGGCACTCATACAGTGAAATAAGCGCATGTAAGAACAGAATGTCTGAAATGCCCTGGGAATTGGTTTTTTTCTCTAGTATTTGGTTATTAGGAAATACATCTAACAGACACTAGTTAATACTTCTTTAAACAATTTATTCCCCTTGGTTAACTTATTTTTCAATCCAAGTTGGAACTGATTTCAATCCCTGTTAAAAGAGCAAATAAACCATTTTATAGAGGGTCAGACTCATCCCTAATTGGAGGAGAAATGTCTATTAAATGCCTTTCATCTTTCTCTGGGTCAAGACCATGTAATTTTGTGCCCCAGAGATAGAGGGTTTAGTTTGTTTACTAGAGAGATTGGTGTTTAAGGCATCCAAGACTCTACCCTTAGAACAAAGATCAAATAGCAAACGACTAGCCAGAATAGTGTGTGTGTGTGTGTGTGTGTGTGTGTGTGTGTACACCTGTGTACTCACTTCACAGCTTGACCAGAGTCGTGAGGTACCAGGAGAATATGGGGGACACTTGAATTATTTTATTTAATGTGTACAGAACCGTTACCACAGTTCTATTGTCATATTATAAATGCTTTTTCATTTTTTATTAGGAATTTATTTTTGATCTTTTCTTTTTCATCCAACTAAAACCATTAATGCATTTGACAAGTTTCTATCTAGTTCTAAAGTATTTAGACACAATCCAAATCGTTTTTTCCTTCTTCATGCCCAGTTATCCAAAATGAATACCGTACTTTGATTAGGTCATTGTGTCGAGTGAAGAAAAACCACGAAAGCTGAGCTGATCTGTGCCACCCCTACAAACCCCTTCCATTCTTCTGGGAAGGTCACCTGATCATTTTGAGGATTCTAATATCTCGCAGTCATTTCCTGAGCACGTTTCCTCCCTTCTGCATGTTTTTTTCACTTCTGATCCCCACTTCCAGTTTCTTCAGCAACCTCTGGTCACTCACGTAGTTTTCTACTAATCTTGTATCTGTTTATGCCTCTATTCTTTGGGGCCTCTGGGTGTTTCTCTGTGGATTTTTACAGGGTATACGTATCTGTGTAGCATGTATCTTGTTATGCATTGATACTAGGGGGGTGTGTCCAGAAGGATGCGAATATCTGGCAGAGTATGTGAATGTATGTGTAGATGAATATGAATGGGATTTAATGTAATAATGTAATGTGAAAATATTTATATGTTCTGTTGTAGCTCAAAGTGGGGCTGAGAATCCTTACCACGTTCCTCTATATTTGGAAAGCAGTAGTATCTGTATTTTGCTCATTTTTACCCTGCCTCTAGCGGACTTCACTCTCAGTGCCAAATGCCTGTGGTGAGAGGAGGTGGAAAGCATTAGGTCAGGAGTAATTGTAAACCAGTGAATTAGCTCTGGGCTGGTGGACATGCTCATTGGTGGACGGCTGGCACATGAGACTGTGCAACAAAGACCTGAGCATCTCCACAGATGCACATTGAGAGGCACCCCAACGTAGAGATCTGAAATCAAGGTCCTACAATTTGTTGTAGTTTGTTTCTCTTTGCCTAGGAGTAAATAGAATTATGAGCATTTTGGTCTCAATAGCTTTATTCTGAAAAATGTGCATGGAATTTACCTGTGGCAGTTCAGTCTTGGGTTGAAAGAACTGTCAATATAGATAAAATCCATTTTTATTACAATGCGTGACCTTTGAAAACGAGTATAAACAGTGACAGTAAAATAACTAGTCATAAGCATTGGAATATGTTCAGTGTGTACCAGGCTGGGGTGGGAGACTCTGTAGTGTGCTCTCTCTTTCTAGCAGCTTCCTCACAGTGGACCTTGCAGAGAAGGGAGGGACCAGGCTCTGACTTTTGTCCCATGAATAAATAAACCCTTACCAAGATCTCTTATTCCCTCAAGTTTCGGAGAAACCTTCTAATGGTTCCTGATACCCATTCCCACTCTTCATCAGTTGATTAGCAAGAAAACGAATAAGACGAAACATTCCTAAGATTCTAAGCCAGAGAGGGAAGGAAGGATGCACACCAGGAGTTGTGGGTATTCGGCTTTTTGTCCTCCGGTTGCCTGGTGGGAGGAGGGCAGAGCATTACAAATTTAGCACCTTCCATCTATTTGACGCTCAGTGCCAGGAGCTGCCCTCAGGGCACCATTAAAGATGCTTAAAAGTTTTTGGAGTAGGCTGCCTGGGGTGACCCTTACATCTCCAAAGCTGGTATAGTTGGTTTGCATCAGCTGATGCCTAGAGCTCATTGTCTTTTTGTCTCCTCAGTATCATACTGAGACATTCCTCTGAGCTTTACCTACTTAAATCACTAAGATCCTGCAAAATGTCCTCAATTTCAATCAAGTAAGGCAAGCTGTGCGGGTACCAGAGATAGGTGAGGGGAAAAGCTTCGTCTACATTTAGAAGAAATAAGACCCATATTTTTTAAGGGAAAAGTTGTAATAATTCTTTGGCACATTGGATTATTTATAGTTTTTAAGATGTAAAGACTCCCGTGAACCGAGAGAAGCAGTAGTTATTCCCCAACGTGATAAAAATGTCTTTGTGTATCACTTGCAATCACAAATCATTTCTGTGTGAGTTGCTTTCATTCCAGAGAATGGCATCATCCTCCAAAGAAAAAGGGGATGATTTTTAAGTAGGATTTCTTAACAGATTATGTGTTGTGGGGCTGGGGAGGGATGATGGGGATTTGATTTATCCAGCCTCCGAGCTCTTCATTCATATTGTGATTTAAGAACAGAGATGGGGGAGGAGGGGCTAGACAGCAGCAGAATATGTAGAACAGCTAAGACATCAGTGCGTATTCAGATTTTGAGCTGTGTAAATATCAGATGTCGGCTTCCAGCCTTACGAGTTATTTGAGCTGAGAGTTAAGGAGGAAAGGGACATTTTGTGAATAAAATGTTTTGCCAAACAAATTGAATGAGTCTTTTTACTATGATTTCTTATAAAGAGTTATTTTCTACCTTCAGAAACAACTCATCAGACACCTGGTTTTTTATCTGGAATTGTACAATCATTGCTTTTTAATAAAAGTGATAAATTTCTTGCAGGTGTTTCCAGTCACCATTACCTTTCAAGTGCTTGTGTGCAGTTTCAAAAGCTCTACAATTTTTGCCTTGTATAGTGGTGGGACATTTTACTACAAACGATGGTAAGCAACGTGTCTTCTAATGCCTGGCAGCTGGATCAATCACAAACCACTTCTCAGGCGACAGGTCAGTTTCTATTTAAGAAATTTAAAGAGGATCGGCTTACCTTAGGAGATTTTAGAGGTTCATGGTAGTAAGTTTCTGTAGCAAATCTCTCAAAACCTCTTTGCCTTAATAGAAACATTATTTTTGTAATGTTGCAATGGCCAGCTCTCTTTATCTTCCATCTGTTGCCTTTAAATGAATCTTTTTTTTTAAAAAAACATCTTTATTGGAGTACAGTTGCTTTACAATGGTGTGTTAGTTTCTAAATGAATCTTAATGCAAAAGCAACTTTCAAAGCAGTTTTACCACACCCAATCTGTTTTTTTTTTTTGCAGTATACTCAGTTTACAAAAATATATTAGTTTCGGGTGTACCACGTAGTGACTCAAAAGCTTTATAGATTATACTCCGTTTATGGTTATTACAAAATACTGGCTGTATTCCCTGTGCTGTATATATAATATATCCTTGTAGCTTATTTATTTTATACATAGACGTCTGTATCTCTTAATCCCCTACCCCTATCTTGCCCCTCCCCCTTCTCTCTCTCCACTGATAACAGCTAGTTTATATATCTATATATCTGTGAGTCTGTTACTTTTTTATTATATTCACTAGTTTTTTTTTTTTTTTTTAGATTCCGTATATAAGAGATAACAAACAGTATTTGTCTTTCTCCGTCTTATTTCACTAAGTGTAATACCCTCCAGGTCCATCCATGTTGTTGCAAATGGCAAACTTTCATTCTTTTGTTTGGCTGAGTACTGTCCCATTGTGTATATACACATCTTTATCCATTGATCAGTTGATGGACACTTAGGTTGCTTCCATGTCTTGGCTACTGTAGATAATGCTGCTGTGAACATTGGGGTGCATGTATATTAATGTTTTCATTTTCTTTGGATATATACCCAGGAGTGAAATTGCTGGATCATAAGGTAGTTCTGGAGCTTTTTTGAGGAACCTCCATGCTGTTTTCCACAGCGGCTGCACTAATTTACATTCCCACCAACAGTGCACGAGGGTTCCCTTTTCTCCACATCCTCTCCAACATTTGTTTGGTATGGTCTTTTTGATGATGGCCATTCTGACAAATGTGAAGTAATATCTCATTGGGTTGTTTTTTTTTAATTGATTTATTTTATTTTTGGCTGCATTGGGTCTTCATTGCTGCGTGCAGGCTTTCTCTAGTTGCGGCGAGCGGGGGCTACTCTTCATTGCGGTGTGCAGGCTTCTCATTGTGGTGGCTTCCTTGTTGCAGAGCATGGGCTCTAGGCGCGTGGGCTTCAGTAATTGTGGCGCATGGACTCAGCAGTTGTGGCTCACAGGCTCTAGAGCGCAGGCTTAATAGTTGTGGCACACAGGCTTAGTTGCTCTGCAGCATGTGGGATCTTCCTGGACCAGGGCTCGAACCCATGTCCCCTACATTGGCAGGTGGATTCTTAACCACTGCGCCACCAGGGAAGTCCTCTCATTGGGTTTTGATTTGCATTACTAATCTGATGATTAGTGATGTTGACCATCTTTTCATGTGCCTGTTGGCCATTGTATGTTTTCTTTGGAAAAATGTCCATCAGATCTTCTGCCTGCTTTTTAATTGGGTTGTTTTTTGATATTGAGTTGTATGAGCTGTTTATATATTTTGGATATTAACCCCTTATCAGTCTTATCATTTGCAAATATCTTCTCCCATTCAGTAGATTGTCTTTTTGTTTTGTTGATGGTTTCCTTTGCTGTGCAAAAGCTTTTAAGTTTAATTTTTGCTTTTGTTTCTTTTGCCTTAGGACACAGATACAAAAAAATATTGCTACGATTGATGCTGAAGAGTGTTCTACCTATGTTTTCTTTTTGGTTTCCAGTCTTACATTTAGGTCTTTAATCCATTTAAATTTATTTTTATATATGGTGTTAGAGAATGTTCTAATTTCATTCTTTTACACGTAGCTGTCAAGTTTTCACAGCACCACTTATTGAAAAGACTGTCTTTTCTCCACACTTATTGAAAAGACTGTCTTTTCTCCATTATGCATTCTTGCCTCCTTTGTCCTAGATTGTCCAGAAGTGTGTGGGTTTATTTCTGGGCTATTATGTTCCATCGATCTATGTGTCTGTTTTTGTGCCAGTACTATACTGTTTTGATTACTGTAGCTTTGTAGTATAGTCTGAACTCAGGGAGCATGATACCTTCATTTCCATACTTCTTTCTCAAGATTGTTCTGGCTATTTGGGGGTCTTTTGTGTTTCTGAACAAATTTTAAATTTATTCGTTCTAGTTCTGTAAAAAAAAAAAGCCACAGGTATTTTGAGAGGGAATGCATTGAATCTGTAAAGTGCCTTGGGTAGTATGGCTATTTTAACAATATCAGTTCTTTCAGTACATGAACATGGTACATCTTTCCATCTGTTTGTGTTGTCTTCACTTTCATCAGAGTCTTATAGTTTTCTGAGTACAAGTGTTTTACCTCCTTAGGTGGGTTTATTCCTAGGTGTTTTATTCTTTTTGATGTGATTATAAATGAGATGGTTTTGTTAATTTTGCTTTCTAATGGTTTGTTTTTAGTGTATAGAAATGCAACAGATTTCTGTATATTAATTACATATCCTGCAACTTTACTGAAATCATTGATGAGCTCTAGTAGTTTTTTGGTGCTCTCTTTAGGATATCCTATGTATAGTATCATGTCATCTGCAAACAGTGATGGTTTTCCTTTTTCCTTTCCAGTTTGAATTCCTTTTCTTTCTTTTTCTTGTCTGATTGCCATAGCTAGGACTTCCAGTACGTTGACTAAAAGTTGTGAGAGTGGGCATCCTTATCTCATTCCTGACTTTAGAGGAATAATTTCAGCTTTTCACCATAGAGTATGATGTTAGCTGTGGGCTTATCACATATGGCCTTTATTATTGTTGAGGTATGTTCCCTCTATACCCGCTTTCTGGAGAATTTTTATCATAAATGGATATTGAATTTTGTCAAAAGCTTTTTTTGCATCTGTTGAGATGATCATATGCTTTTTATTCTTCATATGGCTTTTATTCTTCAATTTTTGTTAATGTGGTATATCACATTGATTTTGATATTGAACCATTCTTGCATCCCTGGGTTAAATCCCACTTGATCATGGTGTATGATTCTTTTCATGTATTGTTCGATTTGGTTTGCTAGTATTTTGTTGAGGATTTTTGCACCTGTGTTCATCAGTGATATTGGCCTGTTTTCTTTTTTTTCTGATATCTTTGCCTAGTTTTGGTATCAGGGTGATGCTAGCCTAGTAGAATGAGTTTGGAAGAGTTCCTTCCTCTGCAGTTTTTTGGAATAGTTTCAGAAGGATAGGTGTTAACTCTTTTCTAAATGCTTGGTAGAATTCACCTATGAAGCCATCTGGTCCTGGACTTTCGTTTTGGGGGAGTTTTTTTTTTTTTTTGATTATTCATTCGTTTAATTACTGATACTGTCCATATTTCTAGTTCTTTGTGGTTTAATCTTGGGAGATTGTATGTTGCTAGGTATTTGTATGTTTCTTATAGCTTGTCCATTTTATTGGCATATAGTTCACAGTAATCGCTTATCCTTTGTATTTTGTAGTTTTGGTTATAACTTTTTTTCATTTCTGATTTTATTGAGTTGATGAGTATAGTTAGAGGTTTGTTACTTTTGTTTATCTTGTTTATCTTTTCAAAGAACCAGCTCATACTTTCATTGTTCTTTTCTATTGTTTTTTCAGTCTCTATTTATTTCTGCTCTGATCTTTATGATTTCTTTCCTTCTACTAACTTTGTGTTTTGTTATTTTTCTAGTTCCTTTAGGTATAAAGTTAGGTTGTTTATTTGAGATTTTTCTTGTTTCCTGAGGTAAGCTTGTATTGATATAAACTTCCCTCTTAGGACTGCTTTTGATGTGTCTCATAGATTTTGGATCTTTGTGTTTTCATTTTCATTTGTCTCCAGGTATTTTTAAATTTCTTGTTTGATTTCTTCAGTGATGCATTGATTGTTTAGTAGCATATTGTTTAGCCTCCATGTATTTGTGTTTTTTGCAGTGTTTTTTCTTGTATTTGATTTCTAGTATAGCATTGTGGTTGGAAAAGATGCCTGATTATGATTTTAGTTTTCTTAAATTTACTGAGGCTGGCTTTGTGGCCTAGCATGTGATTTTTCCTGGAGAATGTTCAATGTGCACTTGAAAAGAATGTGTATTCTGCTGCTTTTAGATGGAATGTTCTATATATAGCTGTTAAGTCCATGTGGTCTAATGTGTCATTTAAGGCCAGTATTTCCACATTGGTTTTCTGTCTGGATGACCTGTCCATTGATGTAAGAGGGGTGTGTTACTACCATTACTGTGTTACTGTAGATTTCTCCCTTTATGTCTGTTAATATTTGGTTTATGTATTTAGTTGTTCCAATGTTGGGTGCATATATAATTACAATTGTTATATATTCTTCTTGGATTGATACCTTGATCATTGTGTAACGTCCTTTTTGTCTCTTTTAACCATCTTTGTTTTAAAGTCTGTTTTGTCTCAGATTAAGTATTGCTACCCCAGTTTTCTTTTGATTTCCATTTGCATGTAATAACATTTTCCATCCCCTTATTTTCAGTCTAATGTGTGTCTTTATATCTAAAGTGAGTCTCTTTTAGGCAGCATATATACAGGTCTTCTTTTTGTGTCCATTCAGTGACTCTATGTTGTGTGATTGGAGCATTTAGTCCATTTACATTT